ATCCAGGTTCTCCCTGGGCGTCAGCATGGTGAAATGACTTACCTCGAGACTGGTCCGGATATTCACAATGCCTAGAGCTGCGAGCCAACATTTTAATAGAAAAGGAACTGGGTGCTAATATAGCAATACACCGCAACAAAGTCATTCCGAATTGCAGATGTGTTATGGTGTGCCAGCTTGTGTAGTCTAGTCTATTCATCTGAAAGCGGCCGAATACACAACCAGGCAACATAACATGGAATTTCTACCGGCAGAGACTAATCTCCTCATTCCATAGGGTTCTACCGAACCTAGTATCCTTGCAAGTTGTAAACCGAACCTTTGCAAACATGGCTATGAGTTCCTTTAGTGAGAAGTATATTTCCCCTCGAGGATTCAACCAGATGAAAAACGATCGTGTCCGATGTCTAACATTCAAACGATCCAAACGGATGATTTGAATAGCACAAACGTTCACAATCTGAAGCCCTCGAGGATCCAAGATCCAAAAAATAAAAGGCGCTAGACATGAATCCAATGGTTTCTTGAAATGCTTGGAATGCTTTCAGGATCCAAGATCCAAAATGAAAGGCGCCCGACACTGAATCCAACGGTTGCCTGAAATGCTTGAAATGCCTTCAGGCGTCCCGACTGACCCCCGAACAAATTGACGGTTGAAGGCAAACTTTCTCTGGACCCCATGATTGTCCTGCTTTGAGGTTTGTAACTGCCTGAGTGCTACACGGTGATTGTCACGGCCCGAAAAAATGGCATATGTCAAGGAAAGCCAAAAGTTGGCCAGTAAATTGTGAAAACCTGGAAATTGTACCATGAATTGTCGGTTCATAGCGAAGCACGAACAAAACTTCCCGAATCAACCCTGACTCGCCAGACCTGTGGATACGCACAAGGAAATTTAAAATGTCCACCTCCCATCGAGTTCAATGTCCGCCGATAGATGAGATGCGTCCAGGGCCGCATCATCTAGGAGGGTGATTTGTAAAGCCTGGCACACCAGGTAGACCTGCGATTTTTCGCCTTCCAGAATGATCATCTTGTTGAGCTCCTGCAGTTGGTCCAGTACATTCGATATGAAAAGCTTGTGCTTCCGGATTGAACTTGATTCTGTTCCTCGTTCAATCAAAAGTTTGTCCGTAGCTGCCAGGTAAACAACAGTGGTGGCTACTTCGGCATAACCTGGAAATGCAAAAATCCGATGACCTTCAAGAATCACTGCTCCTGTACTGAATTCTTCGTTCGTGGTGACAGATAATACAGATTGCCCCATCCGATGCCACGCTGGCTCATCCTCATTCCAAAACGAATCTGTGCAGTATATCCAAAGGGAGAAATAAGGCCTCTTGTTTCGCGCAAATAACCAGAAATTTCTGCTCGTAGTCTTTGTACGTGTCAAACCCAAGGTCTTTGCTAGGTGAACTGCTAGGCTGGATTTGCCGACATTGGGGGCACCTGATATCACGATGACCGACTCAGCAAGTTTGTCCAATAGCAAAGGGTACCAATCGGCGGACGTCACTTTGCCAGTAAGCTCTTCCACTGTCTTGACGTGGCTCTGCCAGTAGCAAAGGTCTCTCAAAATTCCCCGCAAATTGCTGTTGTCGATAGTGTCACATATGGACTCCTCTGGTGCGGAAAGGGCATTGTCACTGGCCTTTCCTTTGCCTTTGTGCCCAGGTGGCGTCAAAGCAGGAGGTTTACCCCAGTACTTGCCGCTTGGGTGAGTCGATAAAGGTGGCGGTCTCCCTGCAAACCTACGACTCATGGCAAACAAATGTCGCGGGTCCCAAGAATCCTCAAACTTATGTGGTTGTTGCAAAAAACCAACATATCAATTCCTGACTGTATGATGGTCAGAAGTTGTGACTTGAAAAGAAAATGGGCTTCAAATTCCTGACAGCATGATTGTCGGAAACGTCAGCCTGAACTGAAAACTATGCGGTTGCTGCCACTTCAGAACGTCCCATTCCTGACTGCATGATTGTCAGAAGGTTGAATTTGAAAGAAAATCGAACGTCCACTTCCTGACTGCATGATTGTCAGAAACTTGAACCTGAATGAAAACTGAACACCAAATTCCCGACCGCATGCTTGTCCGGAACCTGGTTCTAGCATGGAACTGAAGTAGCATTTCATGACCGGACATTCATGAAAAAACTCCGGGGCCTACTGAATACCTCGTGACGACTTGGTTTCATCCAGCATGCTTGGAATCACTGAGAGTCATGAGATGTATGATATGTCAAACAGATAATAGGCATCTGTTGCCCGGATTCCAACTCTCGACCGACGCAATCGAAATTAATGTCATTAGACTCTGACACTTAAAATTCAAAATAATTCAGCTTCATAACAAAACCGGACTCTTCCAACCGTTCACTCTGGTCAATGTATTGTCGTCCAACAGGATCACAGTGTGCTTTGACCGCGTCCTTCAATACTTCTGAGGTTCAGTGTGTTGAAGCCACACTACGAAACCTGATAGCCAAAGCTAGATAGTAGTTGGCTCGAGCTTCATCTTCTCCACGTAGCCCATCCGACAAGCTCTCAATGTGGTCCCCCAGATATGTAAATAGGCGAACCTGGTCTTGCTGATTCGGAAGCCTATCTTGATGGGAAACATCAATGAAAAATAGGAGCGCCTGCTGAAAAAGGCGCGCTCGGGCAAAATCTTCCATCACCAGGCAGTTGTACAATTCTGTTTGTAATTTGTTTCGCGCGATTGCCCAAAGGTCATCCAGAGGCAATGATGATCCGTCCCCTACATCATGGAATTCAATGTGAAGCCGGGTGTCTGCAGTTGCCTCCTCCCTGGGGCAATCCAAAATTGCACCAACACCTCCAACTACATTGAAGTCGCTTTGCAGACCCAACAACCTGTCTTGGTGAAGAACCGTTGACATAAACCTGTCTGGACCCATAGCGCGGTATGCCATCATGTTCCGTCTCTCACGGGCAAAAACCTGCTGTCTTTGTTGGATTGATAAGCTCTGATAGGGATTGAAACCTCCAAGGCGTACCATTCCAGCGTGCTGCCATCCAACTCGTTCAGATAGACGGTCGTGATCTGCTGTAAGTCCATCGAGGTCCTCCCGGAGTCTTCCCACGACGGAGAATAATTCCGAAAGCTCACAGTTTAGGGAGCTCACTTCTTGTCTCAAACAATTGTTCTCACTGTTGATGCGGTCAAATGCTGACCCGAGTGCGGCATAATCAACTCTCTCCATGGTAGCCGCTGGTGGCAAAAATTCCAACCACTTTCGAACCACCCAAGTTGCAAATAAACTGATCACTGAGCAAGAACTGGCAGCAACCATGACATCGAAGTGCCGTTATCTGCACATGAATTTCCTCCAGGTCCAAGGCACTCGTCCGTACTCCCGAGGTAGTCCGGTCCAGGGTTTGCTCCATCTGCTAACTGGAAGTTCATGATGCATAAACACGCCAAGGGCTGTAAGCTGGAGCACGGTGCAGCCAGTTGTTGTATCGAAGTGTAACAGCGGCGAAAAACACAATCAATGTAGATAACTTTGTCCACAATACTGTCTAAAGTAGAAGAAAAAGGTGAAATAGGACCCGCTAAGAGACCCAATATTGGTAGAGAAATTCCACGTCGGAGTTGCAACTGGGCCAGAAATCTCCCTGAGTTGCGACGTACGAACTGCCAGCATGTCGAGTGAAGAAGGAACGAGGACCTTGGGAGGACGACGCAGCAAGATGTTCCCCACTCGTAGACAGTCCTGTAGAGACCCACAATCGCGATAGTCCCCGAGCTGGCTGGCTGATGTGAGATGCTATTGATACCCAGTTTCCTCGATGTTTGGCTCCACGGGAAAATTACACATCCCGGCTGCAGCGTGCGAGAAGTGTGATAGTTCCCAAAAGCGGAAAACCAATTATGTAGGACGTGAACCACACCTGAACTCCGAGGCTCTCCACAAACTTGCAAAACCACCGGCTGAAAAATGAAGTCTGCGACCCAACAGGAATACTGCTGAAAATTCGCCTCCATTAAACGATAAATGGCCAAAAGGGAGCAAGTTGCCGTGCAAAAATAGGTCATCGCCCAGACATCAGTAAAAGGTTCAGCATTTGGCCAAAATTGTTCGATTGCACGTGGTTCAAAATTCAACCAGGGACAAATAAGAAGATTTGCAAATAGACATACCCGAACGATCCCCCGTGAAATGTAGTATGTCCAAAACAGGAAAATAGCTGCAAAGCGAAGTCGACCGCGGGTTCCAACTGAGAAAATGATTCCAGAAAATGTAGAAAAATGCACACAGGTCGACATGGCAGATTTTCCTCATCTACCAAAAATCGTCATCACTGCTTTCACTTTCATTTTCTGGTTGCATTGCGTCATTGCCGCCTGTGATTCTGATCTTCTCGAGGAGTTGATCCAGATGAAACTGATTACTGCATCTCACCTTGAGTGCCTTGTTGTGTCGAATGCGGTACAACACTTTCTGATCAATTCTCTGGAGCGCTTCCTGCTCAATCTGATGGGCAATGGCACTCGGTGACATTCCTACCCATCGTGGCCGCCAAAGTTCAAAATCTGGCCACTCGAGGATTTCAGAGGAGTCGTCGTCGGATCCGTGATTCCATGGCACATCTGGATCAACTTCTTGATCAGAGTCTTCCATGGCTACTCGAAAATTTCCCTTATAAAAAGGGGTCCCTCCCTCCCACCACTTGATGGGTAATGCACCAGCAGAAAACTAATATTAACATGACCACCACTGACGTGCGTTTCAGTGTTGATTGTTCGTTTAGAAAACAGAAGCGGTCAAGAATTGTTTGTTGTTAAACTTGAGTGCAACAACAATGTTTCAGTTGTTGTTTGCAGAAGAGATTCTTTCACCACAAGACAGTTTGAAGTCGAGGACCTTATTTGCGATACCTCACAATTTTTTTGAGGAATAATGCTTTCATCTTTTTTCAAAAGAGTGACACCATCATGAGCACTCAACTCCTCTGACTTGTCAGGAATTTCAGTCTCAGAGTGTCCAGGTGAATTCTTGTTCTGCAAGCGCTTTGAGAGTTGCAACAGTGCAAAGTTGATCCAAATGTTTCCCATGGATCTTCACCACCATGCGCCCAGATTCCAAAAGCTGGTGGGTGCGCTTGAGAAAGGTCAACTCGTCACCGACATTGGACATGATCTCGATGGAAACTTCATACCTTGACTGCAGTTGTGGGATCAGCTCTTCTGTGACTGCTTTGCGTGACCCAATGACCAAAAGGTCATCCACGTGAATCATCAACAAGCAATCACCAAGTTTGGAACGTAGGATGGACGGATAGGCCTCAAACTCTTCCATCCCAAGGCTGCTTTCACCAACAAACTTTAAGTCTCGATGCCACAAAAGACTGCCATCACGCTGACCTGGAAGGACACAGCCCAAACTGTATGAGACACTTCTCCCAGAGGCATCTGTGCAACGTACACGAGTTGGCTGTTCTTGCTTGACTGTCAAGAAAGCGTCTTTGACATCAATGGCCAACATCATCATGTCTTGGTGCTCTCGAGGGGCCAAAAAGCAAATAGGCAAAATGCGGCTGGCAATGTTCGAAGTAGCCGGTGAGACAAGAGCTTCTCTGCCAGGCTGCAACCATGTGTACTCCCTTGCAACCAAACGACTGCGACGCAACCAGATAGCATTGCCTTGCTTGCCTTTCTTCTCTCTCCAGGTGCGTACAAAGCGTGTGCTCAAGCTTTTGGCATCGTGAGGCAAGTTGTCCTCCTGCAAAACTTGGAGACCAGATAGCCTTTCAACCTCCACTTGATCTGCAATGCTATCCAAGCGCTGAAGTTCATCTGCACTGAGCTCTGGCTCTTGAGGGCTGTATGGAAAACTGAGCTCATCCACATTGGGTCCCACATCATCCATAGTCTCATAGGGATCCTCGTTGAGATTCAATTCATGTTGGATCATCGTGTCAACTTCATCCATTTCAAGGTCGACGTCAGGTTCAATGTCCAAGTGCTCAATCTTCAAAATCTGCCCCAAGAGTCCAAGATGTCCAGTGTCATCACGCTTGGCAACTTTGTTGACAGGCTGCATACTTTCGAAAGAAGCATCATCCAAAACTTCGACTGGTGCCTCTGACTGTGGCGTTTGTGGAACGACGTCTCCATGCCCCGAAGAAGCTTCAACTGCTGTTGCATGAAAAAGCTTTGAATCACCACCGGTCACATCATGTTGTGTGTTGTGCTTGCCAGAAGGTTGAGAAGAAGTTTCAGCATAGACGGGGGTCTGAGGCACGTCCACATTCATAGACTGGGCCCTTGAAGCACGCTTTGCTGCTGCTACGGCCTCTTCCAGGCCCTCATCATTGAAAATGGGTTCTTGCTCACCATCCTGCGGCTGCTCAGCTTGTCCCAGCAGCCCCGCCTCGGCAAAAATCGCAGTTTCGTCAACATCCTCAAAAGGGTGTGCTCTGGCATAATCTTGAACAGCCTTTGCATCCTTGTCTGGCAACCGAAGGCTGCTGTCAAATGCAACTGCAGGTGGTGGAACAACACGTTTTGCGTGGACAAGTCTGTGCCCCAAACTTGCACATCCATAGTTCCAGGGTGAAGCTGTAAGTTCTCCAAGCAAGTCCAAATCAAAGGAAGTTGGCAATCTTCTAATACTGCGTGTAAGAAAGATTCCAGTTGGCGTTCCAATGATATGAGAATCATTCGAAATGGCCTTGCTAAGCCACACACCGCGCGTCCATTGAGGAAGTCCTTTCAAACTGATGCGTAGAAATCCCATCACAGCCACCCCAAACATTGCAATCTTCCCACTGTAAAACCGTCCACAAGCACGCTCATACGCAGTTGTAGCACTGTGAAGTGGTTATGCAACCAAGAGGAATGAACAATGGCCCATGTGTAGACTGGGTGACAACATCCAAAAATTGGCTCTTTGCATCCAGTTTCCCATTCAATCTGAGATACCAGCAAGTTGGCCTTGGCTCTGATAACCTCCACCATTGCCTCTGCTGCGCCATTTGCCCTGTGGTCTCCTGTTGGAGCAGGTTCAGCATGGGCTGTAATCCTCAACGTTGCACATGCTTTTCGAACTGCTTCAAGCGAAGAAAGAGTTGATGGTTCTGAGCCACAACGCAAACCAATCTCAGTGTGACCACAATGGACAATAAAGCGGCACATCTCGGTGACAAGGTAGCTGAGGCTTCTATACCACCCTTCTGTTGCGTTGGCAGGGCAATGCACATTCCAGTACCGCGGTCAGTCACAATCAGCACTGTCAACTTGTCTGACTCATCACGCATTCGGGAACAGTAAAAGAAATCACATGACACAACGCTATGGTCAGTTGTTTCATGAGTCTGTTGTCTGTGGCCATCTTGCTTTGCACGGTGAGCAACACACAAAGGACACCGTGTTTCATAAGGCTCATGCACCAAGTTGTGGGCCTGCTTCATGGACTCCGTGGGCTCGACAGGTTTCTTCTGAGGGATTGCAACACGTTCTGAATCCTTTTTGAGAGTTGCCTCCACTGCTTGGGCTTCCATGAGCTCACGAGTCTTCACAAACTCCAACATGCGACGCATACAGTCCTTCTTGGACCCACGCTTCGACAAACCCAAACAAAGCTTGACATCCAGCACGAAGAGCTTTCAAAGAATGGTCATAGCTGAGAATTGTTCCATCAACTGTGACTGTACTCTCATCTGTGTACGGCACAATGCGCTCTTCATCCAACGGCTCTGCATCAGGCAATTCAGCTGGGGCTTCCTGCACAGGCCGTGGGCCTTCTTGTTGGTCACCTGGCTCATCATCACCAGCTTGCCCAACCAAGACATCTGCGTCAAAGTAAGGTGCCTGTTCTCCATCCCTCAGAGTAAAACTAAGCTGTTCTGAAGCAACGTTGTGCGCATGTGCTATCGTGAGAACTTCTATCACAGATTCTGGGGCATATATTTCACCCTCCAAGTCTTCCAATTCTGAAATGGGCTCTCCAAACTCCAATAACTCCCATCCATGGGCATCCCGAAACACCAGCGTTGTCCTGAACCACATCATTTCACCTGCAGGGCAAAGTGTAGTATCCACAAACCTTGCACGTCGAGTGGTCAATGCATAGACCTGTGGATTCACCTTGTTTCAGCCAGGAAGTAAATGTCTCAACACTGGCTGCAAATGGATTGCTCTCAAGGCCTTTGGTTCTGGAGCTGTTGAAGTTGGACTCAGACAATCGTCCTCAGAGATCATTCGAATGGAACCTTTCACACAAAGTGAATTGCGTTTGAAGCTCACGTTGACAAACTTGCCATTCTTCACAAGAAAAATTCCATCACTGAAGTGCTGAATCTCCCAGCCTGCTCGAGCTATATGAACAAGCGCAAGCAAAGGACAACTGATGTTTGCAATAATGAAACGTTCACGCAAAATCACGCCATTGCCAAGGTCAACAGTTGCAAGTCTTGTGTCACGTATGTCAAGCTTTCCACCTTGCGCATCAATTCCGTCTTGTCCAACTGTTTCATGCTGACATGATTCACCAACATCAGCGTAAGTCAACGGCAGTGCGCTGGTATCTGCACCTGAGTCCAAAATGATCTCAAAAAGAAAAACCTGCAAAAGACCTCATCCTGACATGGTGCAAACGATTGGGCTCATCATGCAAAGTTGGTGAACATGTCCAAACATTGTCATCACCACTGCAAGACATGTCGAAGTGCGTGACATCTGAGTGCTGCAACATTCGAACAAGGCCAGAACCAGAAGCTCCTGAGTTTGAAAAATTCTGTCAGGTCCTCAATGATCACAGTGCTATCGCTGAAGGCAACACGGTTGACAAGAACGATATGCTGAAGAACTGGGTGACTGTTGCGCTGTTCCAACACTGCTTGGACTTGATGCTGCATGTTGAGATGATCCATCAGCTTCAACTTGTCGAACAACACCATTGGCTTTATCAGCCTGAAATTTGCGGCAATCTCGTTTCCAGTGTCCCGAGGCGCCTCAGTAGTTGCATCGGTTAACACCAGCGGTCTTTGACTGTGTCTTCCCACCTCCTTTGGAGGGAGATCCATAACCTTTGCCACTCTGCTGGGGTTTTCCCTTGCCTTTGCCACCATCTTTCGATTTGCCTTTGTCTTTTCCTTTCCCTTTCTGTGTTCCTTTGCCTTTCTGTCCTTTACCTTTGGACTTCCCTTTGACCTGGTTGATTTCCATTGGAGCCACGCTGGAATCACCTGTAGCATAGGAAGTCACCGTACCAAGGGCTGTACCATTGATATCAGCCATCACTCTGTCCTTAGACCATGTTGAAGAAATCCTTTCATGAGCAAGAACTTGTTCACGGACTTGAGAGTACGTTGCATCCTCTGTCATAGTCAACTGGGCATGGCGCTGAACATCTTTTCGCAAAATGCGCACCAACGTAGACAGCAAAATGTCAGGGGCAACTTGATGACCAGCGCTTTTGGTGTATTCATCTGACAGTCTTTCCAGGAGTAGGATTTGTTCTAAAAGGGTCTTATCTTTGGTCATCACCGGAAATTGCAAAACAGCGCTGGGTAAGGCTAGACTGCGGCCTTCAATTGCCTCCATGCCTCGAGTCCATTTTGGTCCTGTACCTGTCTCAGAATTTTGAATGGTCTATGTCTATGTTTCAAAATTCCACCCAGGATGAGAAAAAGCTTCCTGGATCTCTCCCTCGAAGCATTTCCAACTACAGTATCCACAAAAGTCACTGTAACACCAGGATTGTCTTCTATGTGCCTGAAATCGGGCTCATACGCTGGGTCAGCGAAAAACAGCCACTGTCTGAAAGAGAAGGCAAAGTCTGACCAGAGTGCTTGATCATCAGAAGAGGTTGCACAACCAAACTCTATACCTTGCTGGCCTCCGAGAAGCCAGACCTCGGTTGCCTCGACTGTTCATTGGCTTCCTTAAGGGCTATGGCCGCTTGGGATGCTGCCTCAGCCTCAGCAGCTTTCTTTTACTGCTTCAAGGATCTGTGTAGCTTGCGTGCCAGACATGTTCACGACACCAACAGCTCACTAAATCCAGTGCAAAACGTTGGAACCCCAATGCCAGAAATCCAAGGTCCAAGCCAGCAATTGTCACTGAAGTCCAGAAAATTGCAAAAGCTCTGCATTTGACAGGCCAAACAGCTCTCGTCCCGTCAGATCCAATCTGCAAAAACTCGACCAGTAGTCCAGTGAAAATTGAAATCCGGTCCCAGGTCAGTCCACACGCAATGATTGCTGAAAGAAACACCAAGGAAAGGCTATGGCGCTTACTACAACCCTTTGCTGCAAGTTCAGCAGCTGGTGGATAGGTTTCAGTCCACCTTTGAGCCCTCACCAGAGAGTTGCCAATCTGGATCCTTGGGCTCCGCTACCATGCGGATTTTCCTTGAGTTGAAAGCGCCTCCAAAGTCTCACCATGTTACACTGCTCGATTTTGCAGTGTCAAGTGACAAAACATGACTGCTATGGCATGTACATGTACTGATGCAAGGTGCGTAACAATATGGAAAAACGATTTGGGCTCTAAGGGGGTGTAATTTTTCAGTCGTTACTTGGCATTTTTGTTGTCATTGTTTGTTTGCGGTTGTTTGCCTTTCTCAATTTTTTGATTGTGTTTTTCATATATTTTGGTTTTGTGTTTTTTGTGTTTCTCATTTTGAGTTGTTTTTTGGTCATTGTCACATTGTGCGTGGTTTTTGCTTATTTTGTTTTGGATGCTTGTCATGTTTAGTTTGTTTTTGGTTGCTGCTGTGTTATTTTGCCATGCCCGCGCAATGTTTTTCATTGGTTTTTTTGGCGGTCATGTTTTTTTTTGCCAAATCCGATTTAGTTCGCGACTTACGGCCGTTGGCCCTACCCTGCTGTTCGAATGATTATGGAGGGGCAAAATCAGGCGAAAAGACAATCAGTCTACGCAAAGGTGAAATTTGAAGACAGCAATCTCTACAAACTCTACTCATGACCAGGAATTTATGTACATGTATCGTTCTGCAGACAATTAATTGGCAATTCTTGTCTTTAACATCTTGAACCACAGATGAAACCCTAAGAGCACATGTGTATGCAACAAGTCCGCAATTCCACTTTTGAAATGAAGTTTCACTCATGCACTGGTCAACTCTCACGCAATCAGCTGAGCAATTTGATTTGCGCATCGGGGGAATGTACGGTGCGAGACTCAGGCGTCCCGGTGATTCTGTACACGTAGTGCCTGGTTTGGCTTGTCATGGTCCATCGGTTTGAACTCACGACATGGGATGTGATGGCACGGATCGGTTTCCATCTACCCCCCCTGTTCTGTTTCAGGGTAAGGGCGGGATTTAAAAAAATCTGATGTTGTGACATGTAGTAGTGTCTTTGAGAATCTTAAATCAATTTCATTGGACGTGGATGAACTTGCCAAATAATACTGTGCAATGTTCATGAACTCTGTGGTTCAAAATTTGCCTTCTCTGTTGAAGGACTTCAGCCGGAAAAGGCAACCCATGAATTGATAAATCATCAAGTCCAACTCAAAGATCAGCCAACTACAAGTCTCAATCCAAGTTTGTGACAACGTTTCGTTTCTCTGCAGATTTATGGTTTATAGATTCTGTTGTTGAAATCTGTGACCCTCTTTGATTTCTCAAGATCAGAAAAGGGTTTTCATCTGTGGGATTCCTTTTTTGAAATTCGGAATCAATTCAAGATGTCTTCACCAAGAAAGTACTGTCCACGTTGTGTAAATGCCCTTCTTGTCTTTAACATCTTGAACCACAGATGAAACCCTAAGAGCACATGTGTATGCAACAAGTTCTCAATTCCACTTTTGAAATGAAGTTTCACTCATGCACCGGTCAACTCTCACGCAATCAGCTCAGCAATTTGTTTTACGCATCGGGGGAATGTACGGTGCGAGACTCAGGCGTCCCGGTGATTCTGTACACTTATAGCTAAAGGGTGACCCTCCTACAAAACGCGTACGTCCTACGCACATATTTCTTATATGTGTGAACTATATATATATACACAACGTCTTTACAACCCCCAAGGTCGTTTAGAAGGAAACCTCCGAATTACGGAAGCGCGTAATAGAAATCACCAAATGAAAATAAACGATAAAACTTCGGTTCAAAGGTTCTTTCGCACCAAATAAAAATCGTCGACAATTTGGAATGGAACATGGAGGTGCAGCCGGACACACTCTTTTTGCTAGCAAGGTCGGGGGAGTAGTCACACGGTTCGAAGTGACTGTTGTGATCTCAGTGGTGTCACCCGTCACATCTATGTTTGTCCTCCTATGGCTGGATTATCTCTAAGAGACCTCAGCCATTTGCAGGATCCATGTGTTTCCCCCAGAGTTTTGAGGGTGGGTGACTCGCAGAGGAAAAATTTTGGGCGGGTCAAAAACTATGGGAAAAATCACAGAAATATTTTCTGTGTAACCCGCCCACCTCATCCCCTGGTTTGAGATGTAAAATGCAAACGAATGAATCATCAGACATGTCACTTCGGAAAATGATTCTGTAAAACAGTCAGAGTTAAAACTTTGACACAAACCAGTTTCACCAGATTGTTTCCAGGTTCCAGTTTGTTTGTTTTTTTAACGACCTTGTGCGCTACGTTCCTGCGCTGGGCAGAAAAGACAAGGCTTTCATGGTACCCATGATTCACCTACGTCTTTACAACCCCCAAGGTCGTTTAGAAGGAAACCTCCGAATTACGGAAGCGCGTAATAGAAATCACCAAATGAAAATAAACGATAAAACTTCGGTTCAAAGGTTCTTTCGCACCAAATAAAAATCGTCGACAATTTGGAATGGAACATGGAGGTGCAGCCGGACACACTCTTTTTGCTAGCAAGGTCGGGGGAGTAGTCACACGGTTCGAAGTGACTGTTGTGATCTCAGTGGTGTCACCCGTCACATCTATCTTTGTCCTCCTATGGCTGGATTATCTCTAAGAGACCTCAGCCATTTGCAGGATCCATGTGTTTCCCCCGTTGTTCGAGGATCCAAGTTACATCCCCTTCCTTCCAAGCAAGTTGAGGAAATGGCGCTCCATCTAAGACCTAAGATGGAAGTAAAAAGCTCAGCCGGCAAAGCAATATCACCTCCGAAGTTCAAATGCCATCTTTGGCATGCTTCGGCTGTTTTCCTCCTCGAAGGGAGGTCTGCAGGATTACAATATGATGCCATTCTTTCATACCAAAGGTAGCATGGCATAGCACCTTCCAAACAAGAGCAAGCATGGGCCATTCGAAAAAGTGGGTCAGAAGGTGATCGTCCTTTGATCAAACAGTAGCGGCAAGGTTCGTTGTCAATGAATAGAATGGCCCTGCGGCCATGCAGAAGGTGCCTTGCCTGCCACCTGACGCACAAAACTGCATACATCTCGATCTGGCAAATAAGTTGCTCGCCCACCAAGCCGTGCCAGGCATCCAAAAGAAAGGAGGGCACTATACCCGAGTAGCAGGGTCCCTGTTGCCACATCGAGAAGGATTGCTCCCCAGTCAGCTAGACCATCTCCAAAAGCACCATCAGTGTAAATTATTATAGGTTGGAGTACATCTGCTGAGGAAACCTTTCGGGGCTGGAGGGACTTGAGGACCATCAAGGTATGCTCACACAGGCTCGCTATAGGGTCGCAGGTTGTAACGTCACTCCCATCGCCAAGGTTGAGAACCCCTGCGCTGTAGGCTGTAAGGCTTTGCCTAGCGCAAACCCTGAGGCAAAGTTCAGGAGCCCATGTATGGAGGCTGCAGCAGCGCTTGACACATGGCCTTCCTGGGCCACCTGTTGAGTCATACGTTCCATCCGTGCAAGTCGCTCCGGCTTGTTACCCACAGTGAAGAAGGAATCGTGGATACCGGTCAAGTTGTATTCCACACCCAAAGCAGCAAACGTTGGAGAAAAGGGTTTGGCCTTCTTGCCTGTGACTGCATGCCTCCA